ACTAGATTGAGGAATAAAGTGTGGGAGGCAATAAAGGCATCAAAAAGATGGAATCCACCTTCTGCATAGACTGAGAACAGATGAGCACAAAGGATAAAAGTTATGGAACACCATCGTCGTGTGATCCCCATAAGAAATGAAGAAACAAAAAGATAACTAGACTTTTAAAATGTTGTACCTTATTGTTTTGCTAAGTCAGAGTATTTTTCTTATGTTATAATTCTTAATTAATTAATGATTCTTCTAGTAAAATATTTCTAAAATCTGTACATAACTTGAGCACAATGTAGAAGATAAGATATATTTAACTGAGTCAAGAGCAGAAATATCCAGAAAGAGTATTCCTGCTCATATGTAGATGGAGTGTTTTGGCATTTATCTCACAACTTGTTTGCCATAGTTTGTCCCTCCAAAAAGAGTATGTTTTTAGAAGAGTTCAAGTGAATTACATGTGAACATCTGAGGTTTGATGGGCATGTGGTGTGTGCATGTGTGTGTTATTTTCACATTGCTCCTAGTATTTCTCCTCTGATTTTTATGTTATTTTTGCATGATCTGATTCTTGTGTGATTTTCTTCCCCATGATCTCTGTAATTCCTATACATTTTATATACTTATAATGACATCCCCATACCACTGGGAATACTTTATTAGTCTAGTGTTTCATGAATCAGAGTAGCGTGCTCAATTTTTTTCCCTGTACGATATTTGAGTCAAACATATGTCTTATTAACTATAAATGGTTACTGAACTGGTTTTTGTACATCCAAGAATAACAAGAGCTATGGAATGTAAACAGGTGGGAGTATGGGGATGCACATTTTTATTCATTCATTTACTCAGGCAGTAAATGGATACTTAGTGGACACCAACCACTGTGCTAGGGATGTCATATAGTGGTGGACCAAAGTTTTTATCACAAACCTCAAAGCTGATTTACCTACTTCTGAAATAGTCATTAGGTAGGTAATCAAAAACATAATGAAGTAATTACGACTGAGTGAAGAAAATGAAAAGTTAGGGTGCTACAAGGTGCCCTTACAGAGTGGCAGGGGTTGAGAAGTGAGGGTCAGCAGACGTCCTACTGTCAGGAAGCTCTGTCTGAGCTGAGTCCTCAGAATGTGTTTGTATAGCCAGATGACAATGGTGAGAACAGAGTCCAGGTGAAGAGGCCATAGCAGGAGTGTAACAGGTGTAGGGTGTTATGAAGGTACTTGTTTTCTTTCTACCTCAGCAGAGAATGTACGGAAGCCTGAAGACTCACTCACATCAGGGCTGCAAAATGAAAAATCTATTTCTACATTTTGACAAATTATTAGCATGGGGAAAATAAAACTTAAAATCTAGCCAGAAATAAAATTTCACTTTCAGAAACATATAGCGATCACAGGTTTATGACATCAGCTTAAGGAATAATCAATATGCATTTCTGTTGCAGCCAAGACCTTTCATATTTTAAGAAAATAAGATCTCACTTTAGGAAGTATTCATGTATCATTTTTTCCCTCATCTAATTTCCTATATGCAAAACTTGTCAGTTGCACTAAAACTTCACCTAGGCTTGCTTATGCAATAGCAGAGAGTTTTAGGCACATTTTTCATTCTTAAACCAAACTTTTGCACCAAGATATACAATCTCATTCATTTGCTGCAGGGGCTTGTGTGCCCTAATTTTAGGTTTTTTGAAATGTGAGATTTTAGCTGACTAAATATATTTATTCTATTCATAAAATAATTCATAAATTATACTTCAGACCCCATAATAGTGAATTTGAGGGAAAAATTTTAGTTTAGGCATCACACACAGCATACTTTTAAATCCCTGTATATTTTCCTTTAGTCTGATAAATTGTACGCTTCAAGGAATGACAAAATGCTTTTCTAAAGTATATTGGTTTTTAAATGCCAAATGACTGAACAGTCTTCTGATGACTTGAGACTTTTGCATCCTATCTGAATCAAGTGGAGGATCTATTAATTTGAAAGATTCTCTTAGATTAGGGGCTGGCAAACTAGAGCCCATGGGCCCACTCAAGTCCCTGTCCTTTTAAAATCTGTGGGCTAAGATGATTTTTACATTTTTCAAGTGTTGTTCCAGAAAAGTAGTAATAACAAGGAAGAAGAAGAAAGAGGGCATGGGACTGAGGTATGTACTCCGAAATTATTTACTGTTTGGTACATTACAGAAAAAAAATTGCCTCTCCCTCCAAAACCATCTGAACTGTTATTTGAGCTAGAAGAAATATCTAGTGCACATGGTGGGGAATTTTCAGTTGTTAAAATTTCAGTGATGTTTAGATTATTCTAAAATTATCCTTCTGAATGACTCACAATATGTAAAAAAGCTCTAACTCTTTGCTGTATATTTACAATTTATAGGACAGTAACTCTAAATTAGCACCATAGGTTTAACATATTTCTGTTAGCTTTACTAACCATAAAGCTTTGCAAGTTACATAAATGTGATGTTAGTTAAAAAAAAAACTATACTTCTAAGCATATGTACGTACACATCATAGCCAGTAAAGGAGATTTAATAGCAATGACATATAATTCACAAGCTTCTGTAAATTGATTTTTCAGTCTTACAGTAATGAATTTGGTGTTTTTATATACTCAAAAAGCATATATTGTGTGACATTTGTCTTAATGAAGATTGAATTTTAAAGGATATTGTTCTATTCAAGAAAGATTCAAATTCATTTTAATCCTTCAATTTTGATGTCGATTTCCAAATCATAAATGTTTTTGCAAAACTCAGCTCTGTGTCTTACCTTGATTTTTTTTACATCTGTGTAACAAGCTACAAATGAATGTAAAAGTCAAATTATGTAAAAACAAAACAAAAAAACGGTCCTTTTCAAGGCCTGTGGCATTGTAGTCATTACTACTAAAATGATATATGCACTGTAGCAGACCAGTATTTCTTTCCTATTAGTAAGCAACATCATTTATACTTTTAATTCCTTGTGTAAAACCTGCAGAGGAGCTTTTGCTAATGACCACAATAGGAGCATGTTTTGGAAAATGTGAGAAAGGAAAATACGAATTTTTGTCAAAATTCATGAAAATAAAAATGAAGAGAGAAGTATGCAGACGAAATATGCTAATAAATAGGCCAGAAATTTAATGTATGTCCAAAATGTGGTATGATAAAAATTATCTATCAGACTTTAAATTTGATATTCAAACGTGCAGTATCAAACATCAAAGTAGAAAAACCTTTATTCCTAGCTGAAAATTTGATTTCCAAAGGTCAGGATGGGAGTGGGTGGGCTCCCAGCTTTGCCCTGGTTTGCCCTGATTAGCTATTCAGCATCAGCAATTCCTTTCATTTTCTGATGCTGAGGTTCCTGATTTGGGGGGAAAAAAAAAAAAAACAGCATCCCTATAAAACAAGGTTTTCTGTGGGGCACAAACAATACAGTGTGTACTAGAATGTTTAAATAATAAAATGATATATAAATATTAGATGTTGTCTTTGTTAAATCTATGTCTACACCTTCTTCTATGTTCCTTAACTTTTCCAAAAATTGCTATGTAAAAGATATCTCACATATATTTGTGCCTTTATATTCAAGACAGGATCAGGAACGCCTACACCATTCTTTGGAAATGTTTTAAACTTCAATTAGGATAATGCTTCAAATCTCTATGCTTGGAAATGAAAAGTGCAAATAACAATCTACTGATGCTGTGAATGCTGACGAAAATACCCTATGCCATACATTTGTTCATAAATGATAGATGTACCCTCTCTGCAAAGCCAACCTTGAATAAAATACTGTCCTCCTCAACATCTCGGATTTTCTATGTTGCCTTTTAATTTAATGGTGAAATCTAAAATGCAATATATCTAAATCTTCACTAATTAACTTTCCCTTCAAATACTTCTGTGTTGGTTGATATTCTTTCAGTCACATTAAAAAAAAAAAAAAAAAAATGAGGAAACAAGTTCAATCATGAAAATGCCCAGAGATTTTCTTGAGCAAGCTTTGGATTTAGATGCTGAAACGATGTCCTCACGCTTGTGTCTACTTTGTCTTTCTCTGACATCCATTCCTTCGTGATAGCGAAGCTGCCAACCTGAGCTTAGTGCCAGGAGCCCCTCCTTTCCCAGAATAAATGACTGTAGTTGAGTCTCACTGAGTTAAGTGCCCACCCCTGGTTCTAGAGAGTGGCTTCTACTTCTCGAATCAGGTGATCGAATGGAGAATGGGTGACCTTTTAGAGAAAATCCAGATGCTGTTACTTAAAAAGAAGAGGTTGCTGAGGGAAGAGCTGTTTTCCCCAGTTCCCCTCCCCTTTCTGTCACCAGTGCCTGTGTGTTCTTACCTTGGAATAGTTTGATTTATATCTTTTCTCTTTCTCCCTTCTCTCAAAATGTTATTAAGTCTCTTTCGAAACACCATCTCTCTTGTATTTTCTTATTTTCCACACAGTCCACATCGGCATCGACTCTCAATTCCTTGCACTAGTCTTCCTGCGCCTGGTTTGACCTCTGCCACCCAGGATCTCCTGACTGTGGCTCTCTTACTCTGTCATTTCTTTTTTAAAAAAATGCATAACACAGTCAATTGTTCTTTTTACCTAACTGATGTCGAAAGCTATCAGATTTCAACTGAGATATTAGAGATATTTTTAAAAGCAAGAAATATGGTTGGAATCCATGAAAAATGGTTTACTGTATAATTAAAATATTAGAACTCATAACTTAAATGTTTATTGCATACTACATTGGGTGCCATATAGTATTTCATTCTTTTAAGAGTATATCTACACACAGAAAAGGACCCATGGAAACTTTGGCCTGGTTTCCATTTAAAACTGGACTTGTTTTCATTTAAAGGATATATAGAAGCTCTTTTCAAATTGTTTATGGTGTGGAGAATATAAAATCCTGCCATTGGATAAGAAAATTTAAGTTTATTTTATGACATAGAGAACACGGTTCTTTCCAAGGTATTTTCCCCTAAGTTTTCATTCCATCCTTGTTCCAGGCATTTCCTGGGAACATCAACTCTGACAGCGTGGTGCGCCATGACCTGCAGCACCCGGTCGTTGCCCGCTACGTGCGCATGGTGCCCCTGGACTGGAACGGAGAAGGCCGCATTGGGCTCAGAATCGAAGTCTATGGCTGTTCTTACTGTGAGTATCACACAGTTAAAATTCGTTGTGGGTGTTGCCATCTTCATTTAAATAGTAATCTGTTTATTTTCAGTTATTTACCATTGCTTACTTTCTCTGACAGTAAACTGCCTTCTGTTTTTATATACAAGTAAAACATAATGTTGTTTGTATGTCATAAATGTATGGTTACATTTATATACAAACACATATAAGAATACCTTAAGAATATTTTAAGTAAAGGATTGGGAAGTGTCCATTCAATAGACTAAAACAATGAAGCTTGTTAATTAAATTGCCTGAAGTCTTATGAAATATTTAAAAAGTAAAAACCAATACTATTATCCATCTTTTGGGCTTTTTGTGATGCATTTTGAATATATTCTTAAAAGCTTCCTTCCATTTCTCTTTGGTTAAAGTTATCACTTTTTAAAATCCAAACACTGAGTTTCAAGGTCAGTTGTATTTTATGTATCTATAAGTCTTATTTGCATCTTTTTTCCAATTTACTTGGCCATATAAAAAGTTTCTTTTCCTTTAAGCATCTTTTGAATTCCCTTTTTGTATTTCTTAAATATATTATACATAAGTCTAATTATTCCAATATATGGACTTTGGGGAATTTTAATTCTGCTATCTATTGTTTCTGCTTATTTTTGCTAGTAGTGCTTGTTTATTCCTCCCTCTCCCGCTCCTCATTTTCTCTCTTTCCTTCATAGACTTCCTATCTGCCTGTCCTTCTTATTTATCCTTATGCGCATCCATCTTCTTGACTGTGACTTCAGTTTCTTCAAAACTGTATCTGTGGAACTTCTTTTGGGCAGATATTGATGGTGCATTCTTTTAGAGAGAATTTATTTTTGCTTGTTTCTTCTACAAAGGCAGTACCAACACCAAATTACTTTAAAGATTGAGGATTTTTGAGGCCCTTAGGTAGTATAAATTCAGTCTTCAAACACATGATTAGCAAACACTGGCTTTAGTATATGAATTCTCTGGTAAAATGTATTTTCTTCCTTCCAAGAGATGTTTCTTCCTGTTCTTCCAATTGGTCAGGGGAGGAGTGATACTGGATACGGACAGGGCAGGGAATTGGAATATCGGCTTTATGCAGTGAATCTCCCTTTAGATTCTTACCTACCTCTTCCTGTAGACTCATAAAAATAAAACTCCCTATAACCAGAAAATGGCAGATGCCCTAATGGGCAAGCATTTTAAATTAACCAAACACTTGGTAGTTCATAACAAAAAAATATATATAAAGATTTTACCTCTGAATTTACTTGCTGAGATTAATGTGAAATAGTAGCTATAATGATGACCAGTTCGTATTTTATTAGTTCATGGGCAACATTGTTATGTGCAGACTGATCTGATTACTATAAAGGGGCCATGGAGATCATTTTAAATATTCTGTAGGGGTTTATTTTATTTGGTCATTACTTCATTATAGCAAATATGATGAGTAGAGAGACAGAGAGATTTAGTTCTTCAGAAAAATTAGAACTCTTCAGAAGAAGCCTACAATGAGCCCTAACACAAATGTAGGTCCTTTCTACTGTGTACTCTGGGTATTCCTGGAAAGGAAACCCTGCGCTCACAGTGTTCTAGATGTCGGCATCATGACAGGAAGGCAAAAAAAGAAAAAACGAAAACCCCAAAAAACTGATATTTTTATCAGTGTGACAAATTTTATAAGGAGCGTGTTCAACTTTCAATAAATGAAAAGTATGTAATATTCTTAATGGAAACCGTGATATATATAATTTCTTTTATTAATTGTTTATGGAACACTTTTTTGTGTCATGAAATACGCTGATTTCAACCCAGTGAAATAATACCACAGTGAATACGAAAAACATGGTATGAAAGACAAAGGCAATTTAATCTAGCAGTGTTTATTAGAATAAAAATAGTGAAAGTCAATATTTGCCCAAAGGCACACAGCCTGAGTGATAGAGCCGGAAGGGAAACCAGAGAGTCTGGTACACTACCACTGTTTGCCTAGTCCTTAATTCCAATAAAGTGAACATCCATGTGACCAGCTCCAGGTAAGAAATCACGTCGACACCCCAGATGCACTCATTGGGCACCCTCAGTTATATTTGTGATAATATCCATGCTGATGGGGTATTCATTTATTTCCATTAATAGTAGTATTCTGTTGTATGAATATTCCACAATTTTTCTTTCATTTCATGTTTAGGAACATTTGAATGTTTCCAATTTGGGGCTCTTTCTGTAGAATTGCTATAAATACATTTCCATGGGTAGAGACCAGGAAGGGGTAATATCAAGATAGCATATGTATATACTCAAGTTGGTTAAGAATGACAGAAATTTTTCTAAAGTAGTTGTATCAGTTTAGACTTTCACAGCAATGTGTTCCTGTTGCTATACAATTTCAGACACTTAGCATCGATTTAAAAGTGTTAGCCCTTCTGTCGGGTGTTCGTTATATCTCATTTTAGTGTTAATGAACATTTTCCTGATTTTTAAAGAGTTTATGCTTACTGGTCATTTGTATACCCTCTTTCCTGACGTGTTTGTTCAGGAATATTGCCCATATTTCTATTGGATTGTCTTTTATTTATCCATTTTTCTAATTGTTTTGAGTAGTTTTTACAGCCAACTCTATTTCTTTACTTTTTATTTTCATTCTCATTACAATATCTAGACATGCATCTTTTTGAGATGGCTTCCTTTAAAAATATTTATTTTAAAACCAATACTGTCAATGGAATTACTTTAGAACTCACAGCAAAAGGGAAAAGCAGCTCGCCCAGAGGAAATAGCGCTCCGACTCAGGTGTGGCTTAAAATATAACAACATGTTCTGTAATCCTTGCAAGTGGGTTTGTAAAGTTTTGAGTTAGTGCTGTCATAGGCTTTTCCATCAATCCTGGGCTTTGACAACCATAAGATGGGGAGGAAAAATACCTGAAGCTAAATTGGAAGCTAGATTTTCTAAGCGTATAAGCCTTTCTGGAGGAAAAATCATACGCTTTGGAAAACTGTATTAATATTTATACCTATAGATGCCCAGTGGAGTAAATGATAAATTGGTAACAGAATCAAATAAAGTAAAATAGAATTTGAAAAATAGTATTGTAGCAGGTTGTAGTAAATTGGATAATGGCCTCCCAGAGATCTCAGGTCCTAATTCCTGGAACCTATAAATATTACTTTAAAAGACAAGTGTTTGTAGATGTGATTAAGTTAATGATATTGACATAGGGTGATTATCCTGCACTCGTCCAGGTGGGCTCTGAGTGCAGTCATATGTGTCCTTATAAGAGATAGGCAGAGGGTGGTTTCACAGACAGAAGAGGGAGGCAAGGTGACCACGGAGGCAGAGATTGGAGCTGTCTGGCTACAAGCCATGGGATGTGGCCAGAACAGGAGACTAGCAGATCTACCCTAGAGCCTCTGGAGGGAGCGTGGTCCTGCCGACACGTTGATTTCAACCCAGTGAAACCAGTTGGGGACTTCTGGCCTCCAAAACTGTGAGAGAACAAATCTCTTTTGTTTAAAGCACTGTATTTTGGGTAATTTGTTATAAGAGCAACAGGAAATTAATACAGATGTCAATATTTTAGAAAAAAAAGGGCACAGAAATAGCTCCGAGCAGTGCTCTCCGGTAGAACTTTAAATGTCTCAATCTGCTGTAGTCGCTAGCCACGTGTAGCTATTGAGCAATCAAAATTTAGCCAAGACAACTGAGGAACTAAACTTTTAATTTTATTTAATTTTGATTAATGTGAATTAAAATAGTGTGAAAACTGGCTACCATATTGGATCATGTAGCTTAGAAGAACCAAAACATCTGCTTTTTATTTTTCTTGTTACAATCTAAACAGATTACAGCACTTGTTTTTTAAGTGACAGTCTCTAAATTTTTTTTTCCCTTGGTTTGGGGGGGGGGGAAAACACAAAATACAGATGTCAATATTTTAGAAAAAAAAGGGCACAGAAATAGCTCCGAGCAGTGCTCTCCGGTAGAACTTTAAATGTCTCAATCTGCTGTAGTCGCTAGCCACGTGTAGCTATTGAGCAATCAAAATTTAGCCAAGACAACTGAGGAACTAAACTTTTAATTTTATTTAATTTTGATTAATGTGAATTAAAATAGTGTGAAAACTGGCTACCATATTGGATCATGTAGCTTAGAAGAACCAAAACATCTGCTTTTTATTTTTCTTGTTACAATCTAAACAGATTACAGCACTTGTTTTTTAAGTGACAGTCTCTAAATTTTTTTTTCCCTTGCTTTGGGCGGGGGGGGGGAAAACACAATTTAATTATCTTGGAGACTGTTTTTACTGTCAAAAATTTGGTGACAGGTCATTTTCCTCACTAATGTTTAGGTCAGATTATTTTTTGTCTATTTTTGAAGAATGTAAATTACATTCTCTTTTTCAAGAAAAATATACATGTTTATAATAAGAAAAAGATGTGTTGAACACACTTGTAAAGGATAACTTTCCCAAAGTTACAATGATTTAGATTTACCTCTACTGGAATTCAAACTGGAGTGGTTCCTTCAAAGATGACCCTCTGTTTTTTCTTGAACTTAGTGAACTGTTGCCGTAAGGGCTTTGTTTGATTTTTCAATGAGAAAAGAAATCCTGGGTCTTTGGGGAATCGTCAGACAGACACACCTCCCACTTTGCCCTCCTCTGAGTAGCAGTGCTGTGTACTCTGGGGCCCCAGCCAGCAGGGAATCTAGGCTTTGATCACTCTTGTGGGAGAGAGAAATGAATTCTCTCATCTTTCTAGAAACCCCTTAGAGGGTTTATCTATGATCTGTCTTAAACCTGCAGGTTAGGGGATAGGGTTGTACTTCTTTTATTTCAAAGTTTGCCAGAACCGGAAGGGAGAAATCTCAGTGTGAGCACCGCTTCCATCGGAGTGTATGCCTCCTGTGACTCCCCTCGTGTGTGTTGTCTTTCCTCCGTGCAGTGCTTCCATGGTCACTTCGTCCTCTGAGAAGTTAGATACCTCTCAAGATTGAAATATGTT